GCTTGATGTCTTCCCACCATGAGTTGCCTGTTTTTTTTTTTAAACTGCTTTGATTCTAAAAGGCGTTTCTATAACTAGTAGTTTGGTTGAGGCTACTCAATAAATTTATTTTTAGGTTGTTCCGGATCGACCAAGGCCCGCTTTTTTCACTAGAGGACGCGAGAACTTTATTGATAATTCGTATTCAGTGGCTGAATCAGCCAGTTTAACCAATGTTAACGTTACTGAGCCCAGACCGTTCCGGGTGCCTACAAAATCCCTGAAACCAGTAAGCTCCTGACCGTTCTCCTGTCTGCCGTTTATTAAATTCTTTATTTTGCTCAAGAAAACAGATTTTAGATGCGTTTAATAAGTTTTCTAAGTTTTTATTCCAAGTTATATTTTAGTTTTCACGTTCGTGGTCGAAAATAGTCTTCGGAGAAACGAGGGAACAGGTAGGGACTAATGTTGTTTTTTTTTTAGTGAAAGGTAAGAAATTGTTTATGGATATATCGCCTCTATGATTCCGCATTGATTATAAGATTGTTTTTCAGCGTGAGCTGACTAGGCGTGCACATACGTTTATGGAAACTCATTCACTGCGCACTTTTCTGTAGTGCATTTTTTGTAAATCCAGTCGTATATATAATATATTGTTTGCTGTGATGATGTTGTAAATAGCGGCCCTATTTCCCGAAAAGCTAAATAAATTACCTTTGGACATTGTACTGTTAAGTTCGTGTGGTTTCTTGTATCAAATGTTAAAGAAAGTATTAATGTTTTAAATGAACTTCTTGACATCTAAAGTAGCTGTGAAACACTGATATTATTTATATTTTTGTTTTTTGGAAGAGCCGTTGCTTACATGTTTTAATTAAAAAAATTTTTGGTTAGGAATGGAGAAAGTGCGAGACTGAGGTTCAAGAGTTCTTTTGGTTTTGTGGGCAGAAGACTTCTAAAAGATTGCTGACGAGTGAGCTCGGTGTAATTTCTGAATTATTTCCCGTTTCATCGGTAATTTCTTAATGCCAGGGGTTTCTGGAGGCGGGCTTCGTGCTGTTTTATATTTATTAATCTTATACTAGTTCTGAGACTTCAGGGTTTGGTGTGAGGGGGACGTGACGTTTTGTTTCAGACATCGGGGTACCTGAGTTCTTTTACTGTTACGTTTTTAAGTCTCTTGGAGGAAATAGTTGCTCGCGAATTTAAACTTGTCTCTTTAGTTATTTGGTCGTTTTTGAGATTCCTTCTAGAAACAAGTGAAAGTGGACGGCATGCTGAGTTTTGATTTTTTTTAAAGAGGGAAGAAAATACAGGTGAGTTTTTTTTCGATTTAGATGTGCCAAATGCGTCATTTTCTTGTAAGGTGAAATAAGTGGAAATTTGTGTCTGCTTTGCTTTGTCTTGGCAAACGTTAAATTCGTTGTAACATATTACAAATAAGTCTAACTATTGAGGTCGTTGCATAGATAAGTGTGCTCGAAGTACTTGAAGAAGTTAATGAGTAGGTTTTAAGTGGCAGAGACACTAAGAATGGAATGGATGATTGACACAGTAATTAAAATTAGTTTTAGAATCAGATATCTAGAGCGGGGGATGTTATACAATATGGTTCTTGATAGCTGCAAAGCAAATTTTTGCGTCGGACGTGAGCAATTAGGGAGTTTCAGTGCACTTTTACGCATGAAGTTTCGTTCCAGTCATGAAAATCTAATGTATCTTAGCTTCTGACAGAGCGGTTGGGTTTGAAAAGGTCTGGTGTTGTCTTGTAACGGCAGAATAGAAGAGCTGTGGTTGGTTTATCTTTTTTGTAGACGTACTAAAGTATTGGGTACTGAAGATGTTAAGGAGTTGAGAAAGTTTGAAGTTTTTTGAATTGTTGCACAGAAGAGATTATTGAAGTACTTGGACTTCTCGACAGGTCAGTAGACGTTAGAGATAAATTTTTTATTCTTGAGAAATAATCACGAGTAGTTTAAACTTGAGGACAGCATTTGTTATAGATTTTAAGAAGCACTTGGGAACAAAGCAGCATGCTGTGAACAGCGAAGACAAAACTATACAACAGCACTGAAAAGGAGGAAAAGTATTGTACTGCCTGGAAGGTTCTGTTGTTTTTTCATAATTTTTACACCTATTAAGTTTCTTTCACAGATATTCCTTCTGTTGGTTATGACAGTTATAACTACATCGCTAAGCTTTGTTCACTTTGGTGCGGAAGCAAAAAGTTGGTGCAAACAAAAAAAAAAACTTATATTACGAGACGAATTTTTTCAAAAGAAAGAAATATATACTGCAGCTGCTTCTACTGAATTGTAGAAATGAGCGCTTATCGTATAATAAGATAAAGGTTCAAATGAAGAGATTATGATCAAAAAAAAAACTGAAGTTACTAATAATAATGTTTCCAGTGATCATTAGCCGCAGAATTTTGCCTACAGCTTTTGCACAGACAGTGTTTGATATATATCGGTCTGATGTGCCAAACAAAAATGTAACTGATAGGAAGCGAAACAAAAAAGATTGTTGACAATATGGCTTCCTTCTTTTTTCTCGGCTATGTTTTTCCAGTGTTTTGGTACAGTGATTGATAAAGTCTCTTAAAGGGAATGTACCTTAGGCAAAAGCTGTTTTTTTTTTCACATTCTAGCTGAATTTATTTTTCACATTTCAAGACATCTAAATGTATTTATTTAGAACAACAAAAAACTTTTCTTTAAACTTTTATTTAGTGTAATATTTTATGCTGAAATAATTTTACGATGTTTTTCTATGTTTTTTAATAACAATTATTGGTTTTTGTATTTCTGGTTCTTTCTTGCTTCTTTTTTTCTTCTTTAATATTATCAGTTATTCTTTCTGTTACTGAAACTGTGTTTAATCTATCGAACGGAAAGGTTGACTTAAGTTACTCTTATTTGTTTTTCATTATACAAATCGAAAATGCAACTTTTTGGTTGGTGTTTTATTAGGTGTTTTGTCAAATATACCATAATCTTAAATTTTGGTAACTTGACGTGGGTTCGTTTTTGTATGGAAGAGCTGCATAATTGTATGAATTCTGCATGATTACTGTTGTCGTAATTGTACGCATAAGACAATGTTTTTTTGTTGCCTTATAAATGGTAAAAAATTTTTATTGTAGAGCAAGTAGGTTTACGATAAATGTTGGCATATTTTTTAAATCTTTTTCAATTGTTACGTTGATCATTTGTTACAGTTTTATGGTCTTATCTTTGGTGAGGTAATTTTATGGGGTGAGGACAGCGAAGGGAAGAGAGGGAGGGCAGGGTTTGCCAATATTTTATATTTACATTTAGATGAAGAACAATATGAAGGCTAAAGTTACTGTATAATGAATTGGTATTTATGGTGGATATGAAGATATCTATGTAACAATAGTTAAAACACTGTGGTAGGTTTGTAAATACGGTGTTGTTATTTTGGCTTTCTAACAGAAATTATGGAAGGAAATGAATGGTGACGTTCAGTAAACTGGAAAAGGTAAAATTTTTCTAGTTGTCAAAACTGTATCAGAACTAATTTGGCATAAACGGTAACACGGTTGCATAACAAAAGTTCTTTTTTTGCTTTTCTGCTCCAGAAAAGGAGAAAAAATTAGCTAAAAAAGTGTTTATTCATGGAGAATGAAGAGCGACAGTATTCTTCATTAAAAGAAGCTGTAAAGCAAAAACTGTCGAGGGAAAAGAAAAGAAAAGTTTGGCATGCAAATAAAAGTGTTTAAAAAATTATGAGACTGAAATAAATAGATTTTTTTTTGTCGTTGTTCTTTTCATTAGCAGAACTTAGTATTTGTGTTGTCATAATTAAACTTTAAAGTTTATTTACTATTTGTTCAGTGTTTTGATAAATGGTTTAGTTTACTTAAAAAGCAGTTTTATTAGAGCACCTTGGTTTTTTTGTAGGCTCACTTACAATATGTTTTTGGGTACTGCAAACTTTATGAGTAGTGGAGAAGAAACTGAATTTTAGGTATGAGCAGTGAATAGATGATGATTTAAAAGGATAATATTTTTGGTTGGGAAATTTCTATTTCTAGTGCTGCTTATTTCATTGTCATTATATTTTAACTTTTTTTTTTTATTTCTTTTGTCAAACTTCAAAGTTTATTGATGACTTGGAAGCGTCACTGTTTGCACCGACAACAGCTGTTGGAAATAGTTAAAATTAGTCAAGACCTTTTTTTTTTTCACGACTATACTAGATAACTTCGGTTAGTGTATAAAAAGCAGTCGCCACTAGATAGTCGGATACCGAAATGCGGATAAAATCAGTTTAAAAACTACTGAGTTAGTCTAATTAGCCTACAATAATGTCATAGTTTGGATCAATGTAGACCGTTGAAAAAAGAAAGTTTTTGTGCGAATACTATGAAATTGTACACAGTTGTTTGTTGCCGCTTTTTTTGCCATTTTTTCTTGTGGAACGTAACATTGGCAGTTAAAATAATTGAACAATTGAACAGCGATTGAAAGTTTTGTAGATTTTACCGATGTTTCAGTGGTAAGTCAAAGCATTTGCAACGTTGAACAGTTAATTGCTGTCAGTAGAGAAAGTGTTTTGATGTTATGATGAACATTGGTAATAATGGCAATTTTAGAAATGGAAATTATTTCTTATTAGTAGCTGAATCTATTTTCTTTCTTTTACTGTTTCTTCTTGTGATTGCCATGGAAATTTTTGAAGCAATTTCCTTTATTCAATAAGAATGAATCTTTTTTGAGAAGCAAAAAAAAGAGGAGAGACTCTTAACAGCAGTTTTTTTTT